ATCTACCCCGGGTCACAATCAGCTCTTTCCTCCAGGAATGAAGCATCAGGAACGGCCTCGCCGCGGCGCCTCCTGATTACAGCCGTTTGTTTACAGGACGGGATGGCCTGTTCACACCCGCTGCCCTTCTGCTGCCTCCGTTACCCTCCGGTTTTTCTTTGTTTTTTGGGTCGYCCTTCAGTTACCCCTGCCTCTCCCTGTGGCTCACTTCGCCCKCTGACGACCACACATCACCACAGATCCTGGTGGCTTCGATGCTTCACATTGATCTTGTGCTGGTGTTCGATGTGTAACAGGAGAGCTGATGACTCTCAGCTACTACCACATCAAATTTAGCTCCATCACCTTTAAAACTGACATTTTTCTCATGGATAATATCGATTAGCTGTGGCAGCCATCTTTTAATGTTTATCAGTTCTAGAGATACTAACCTTGGCACAAAAAGGAAGATAATTTGTTTTAAAGATGATTTCTTTATTGTAACAATGCTTTATGTAATAAATCTTATACTGTTGGAAGGCCTGTTAATTTTCCTTTTAAACTGAGCCACATTTGTAAGGATCATGCATTTATGGGATGAGCTGCAGAGCTGAGAATGTGGGTTGTACACATGAAAATTTGCCAAATCGTCTTTGTGAAACAGGTCRTGTGAGAACTTCTAAAGCATTCACACATTTTTTTATTTCATACTTTTTTTAGCGCGTATCTTATTCTGTAATTTTGTGCTTTTTGTACAGTTTATCGATCAAAACGTTCAGCTACTTCAGTACATTCCAGCTATGACTTTTGGTATTTTCAGTTTATATTTTTTGAGATATTTTGCCTTTGTAACCCTTTTTTTCTCATTGAAAAAAATCAAACCATAAATCCTTTTAAAATGATCCAAAATATTTACTGTACTTCAACCTCTCTTTTGCTGATTTTAGCAATTTGTTTTATTTTTTAGCTRTTATTCTGACTTTTTCTACTATTCTGCTAATTTTAACTTTGTGCTTCTGTCAGCTTTTTGTCCTACTATTTTGGGATTTTAATGCTTCTTTTAGTTTTTCCTTTTTTATTTTTTTTTGCTAATTTCAGCTGTTAATTTTTTTTAGTTTTTAGCTAATTTAAGCTTTTCTTTCAGCTACAATCACCTTTATGGTTCTTTAAGCTTATTACTGCCTAATTTAGCAGACATGCTCATTCTGTTTGTTAATTTCAGCTATTTMAGTTAGCTTTTTTATTTTTAACTATTCAGAAAAACTCTTTTCCAGTTTTGTTTCTATTGACTCGATTTGTTGCCAAGAAGAGCATTGTTACAACAGATAATCTACCAAACCCTAATTTCTTTATTTTTTTGTGCTGAGTATATTATTTCCTAAAAGTTTTAATAAAACCTGCTCAGCGGTTTACGAGATATTTTACTAACAGACAGGTTATTGTCTCTGTGCCTTTCAGGGACCAACAGTGAGTCAGATTTCTCCTCAACTTCAGCCTGTTTCAGTGTAAAAATCATAATTAAACCATAAAACTTGACTTCCTGTTTGAACATATCTACAGTTCCTGTCCCAGTTCCATAACAACAATCTGCTGTACGTCCTACATTTTCCACAGCAGACTCTCTTCAACACTTTRTTTCAACTGTTAAACGTGCATTTTATTACCCCAGTTTCCTGTTTTAACAGTTTAGAACCTGTGTGCAGGCGTCAGGCACCGATCAGGCCGTAAAATACGTCTTTTAATCCATTAAATGTTAACAAAACGTTAGAATGAGTACAAAGTCAGTGGCTTCTCTGCGTGCACGGGAGAATAACCATTAAAGATTGTCCAACTCGTGTGGCTCTTATCTGCAGCTCTGCGTCGCCTGAGCGGAGGCGGAGGAGGCGCTGGATGTAGCGGCGGCGTCACGATAAGCGTTCTGGTACGGTCTCTGAGCTGACGGGCTTTTGTTGACTCAGAATTGAAGTCATTATCTCTTCAACACAAACCCAAGATTGTGAAATTGATTCGGCCGGGTCGCCGTGCTCCCAGAGATTGACCCTCTCCGCGCTCGCTCCCTGACAAGTAATAATTTGAGTTGCTCCCCGCACCGCGTGTCAATAAGATTCTCGACGCCAGCGTGGAGTCATTTCTTGGGAGATGTGAGGGTGGAAGGCAAATGAGAGCTGACTGTGAGGCGGGAAATAAGAGAGTGAAAGGACACGAAGCTGTTTACTTGGATACCTGTAATTTTAGGAAGAGTCACGATTTAGGTCTCCCACTTCCAAAATAAATCAATCAAGGAAAAAAACTGAAGTTAAATAAGTAAAACTGGAGCTTTCCAAAGGGTTAGTTCAGATCTTCTACAGTGGAGTTCTGTAGTGAACAATAAATATCTTACCTGTTGTGGATAAATCTGGAAACAGTTTCATCTCAAAGATGGTTTTAATTCTAACTGAGCTAAAGGCTAAAACTCATATAAAAATAGTCACACATACACCRGTTTATCAGCTACATTTTACGCTTTTTACAAGTACTCATACAGTGCCATTTCCGCTTTAAAGGTTTTCAGACACTTCCAGACGCTACTGGGGGCTTTAAAAAACATAAAACAGGGTGTCGGATGACTTCCTTTGATCTTACCTTTAGCTTGACACCCTTTCCAAAAACAAAAAATAAAAAAAGGCTTTTAAGGAATTTCAGGGGTGATTGTTCAGGGGATAGGTACACCCTTATTTGAAGTCGAGCTAACTTTAAATCATAAGTTCCGAACATGTAGACATTTATCTAGTTGAACAAAAACCAGTAAAGTTTAAAAGCAGCACACGTTGACCATAAAGTTAAAACAATACAATTAAATTTGTTTTTGCTGCTTATATCCTGGATCTCGTTCCTTCAGTCCTGATCCAAACTAGTGGTGTAACAATAAATCGATCCGCACCGATATGTATTAAATAATTAATGATTCGTTTACATCGAGGCAAAACAAAAACTGCAAAACTTGTATTTAAAACAAAGCTGCTGCTGTTGATCATTCAGTTTTTATAAGCAGCCCTCCCAACCAGTACTCCAGTGAAAACACTGGAAAGGCCTAAAAAGATTTTAGATGTTTTTGATAAAACAATTAGTGACTTAGTCCGCGGTGTTTGCATCTGTTTAATCAGATGTCATATTATATACCTCTGTATAACCTAGTTTTGTAGTACAAATACAGTACACGTTTTTCTTATATTTTATCAAATTTTGAACATGTTTGTTTTGGGCAGGTAAMCTTTCATGTCAGGCAGGTGACATTTTTCATCACCTGCCCAACAGGGCAGGTGAAAAAGAAAGTCTTGTTGAACCCTTAAACCTAAGMACAGCAGAGCTGCAAACAAAGTGAGGACATTGAAGAACTTTGATAGTAACTGTAGCGCAAATAGTCCTCACTCTGTAGTAAAAACAAGTACACACACACACACCCATACCATGTTTTTCTATCCTTATGGGGAATTTCCATTGACTTCCACTCATATTTTGGTAATTTTATATCCTAACCCTGACCATTTACCCTAAAATTAACCTCACAGGTGCCTACCTGACCCTAAAACTAACCTAAACTCAATCCACAAATTGGGCCTCATGCAAGAACCGTTCGTACGCACAGATTTGTTCTTAAGTTGTGCGTACGAGTGATTTAGGAGAATTTGTGGCATTCACCAATG